CCCGTCCAACGCAGTGTCGGGGAAGTCTCCGGCAAGGAGACACGGGGCCAGAGGTTGAGCTGATGTGCAGCGTATCGGACCGCAAACGGCCACAAAAAGTGGGGGGCAGCCGCATGGATCAAGGAGGTACGAGCGACCTCCATGACCAAGCCAATGCGGCGCTCAGCAACCCCATTCTGCTGTGGAGAGGCCGGAAGCGTGAACGAATGCTCAATGCCGTGCTCAGCACAATAGGCTGCCAGGAGGTCGGAGGAGAACTCACCACCTCTGTCAGAGTGCAAACGCAGGACAGGAAAGTCCGAGCGGAAACGCTCGCTGAGCTGGAGACGAGCTCTGCTGATCCAAGGGATCAAGACATCAGGGACCTCACCCTTGGTGCGCAAGGGGAAGACCGTGGTGTAGCGCGAGTAGTCGTCAACAACAATCAGGAAGTACCTCTCCTGACCGTGTCCACGGACGTGGGCTGGGCCCCACACGTCCATGTGGAGCGTCTGCAAGGGAGCAGTCGTCGGGGGAAACGAGGAGGAATGAGGAGCGGCGCGCTGCCGCCCCTCGACACAGGGAAGACAGGGAGGAGCAGGCGAGGGTGGGAGGGGAGGGAGAACCCTGGGAAGACCAGAGACAAGGTACCGTTTGTGCATGGCACGAAGGCGCTGCACAGACGGGTGACCAAGTCGGTGGTGCCAGAGGACGGTCTCGTGCGCCAGAGAGCGACACGAGCAGGGGGCCGACAGCTGACCTGACGCAGACGCAGACGCAGCTACCTGAGGGGACTCAGTGGTCAGTGTGTACAGGTCCGACCCCGGCTGCCGAGTGAAGGTAGCCAGGTGACGGCCCGTCCGCGCACACGTGCAGTGTGTCACGCGCTCGTAGGCAGGGGTGAACTGGTGAACACCCGCGTCCTGGAGCGCACAACCCGCCACCAAGTTCGTAGAGAACGAGGGGAGGTGGAGACCCGACAGTGTGCCCGACGGGACCGCAGGACAAGGAAGGACAGTGGAGGAGGTCGCAATGACCGGACCCCCAGAGGGGTCAGCGAGGGAGACAGCAACTGGCCGAGTGAGTGGCTCAAGGACAGTGCGGTCACAAAAGAAACAGCAAGAAGCACCTGAGTCCAGTGTGAAGGTGTGCAGTGCCGCAGTCGACTCAGTACCAGGGGGCACAGACGCACTAGCACCTAGAGCAGCAGCCTCACCAGCACCTGAGGTAGCAGACACGCGAGTACCTGGAGTGGCAGTCTCACTAGCACCTAGAGCAGCAGCCTCACTGGTCCGAATGCCTGGGTCGGGCGGAACACGCAGGTACTGAGCACCCTCTCCACTAGTAAACATCACATACATGGCAGTAAGAATAGCATCAAAGTCTAGTGCATAGATATCAACTCCCTTCTTCATCAGATCAAACCAGCGGGGCAGCTCAGTGGCATCAGGAAACTGAGTACGCCAAGCGTCGTCAAGGCGAGAGAAACAGTGCTTGGTGGGGTGTGGCTTCCCACACGTCCGACCAGTGCGGTCACCAGTGCGAATGACGTACGTGCAGCTAAAGCCACCCGCCCCCCCGCGCTGCGAATACCACTCACGGGCCTCCTGGAGCGACGGAGTGTGCTGCTGGCTCAGACCACCGCCAGCGCCTCCACGACCACCACCGCCGCCGCCACCTCCTCGACCACCCCCTCCCCTGCCGCTGCCACGACCACCGCCGCCCCCGCCACCGCCCCCGCCCCTGCCACCGCCCCCGCCGCTGCCGTCACCACCCCCACCGCTGCCACTAGTCTCTCCAGCCCCACCACCACTCCCACCCCCTCCTCCCCCACCTCCCCCACTGCCACCTCCACCCCTGCCCCCTCTGCTCCTGCGGCGCCCGCTCGGAGCTGGCGCAGTCCCGACCTTCTCAGCACCAAGGAGGTCGACAGCAGAAGCAGAGGCTACAGAGGGAAGAAGGGGGGAAGGGGAACACCCCTCAAAGAAAGGGGTGCGGGGGTCGCCACGAGAGGCACCTACAGCGACGATGCTCGCCTCAGCTGCAAGTAGTTCCTTCTCGAGGAGGGCAATGGTGAGCTCAGTGGGGCAGCGAGCTAGGAAGTGATCCCGGACTGTGTGCAGAGAGTCAGGGAGGCGGGTGACGATGTGGTAGAGAGTGAGCCAGAGCGGGGGGGGGTTCCTAGCAAGGAACTCATCGGGCATAGCAGCACGGAAGCGGGCCTCACTAGTCTTGAGGTGGGTGATGAGGTCAGCAACTGTGTGAAAGGAGGCCAGGTCGGGGAACAGGTAGGGGAGTGAGAGGCGGCCAAATGCGGCAGAAGCAGGTGAGGAGTAGCGAGCAACGACAGCAGTGTACAGTTCCTTAGCAGTCTTGTGCTGGCCAAAGTGCTCGCGCTCATCTATCGGCAGGGAGTTGCGAATAGCAAAGCGAGCGTGGGCGTCACGAGTCTGCCACTGTGAGCGGGCAGTGCTGTCAGCAGTAGTAGGAGGGGCAGTAGTATGGCCGAGGGCATGATCGTACAGTGAGACGTCCTCCTTGGCAGTGAGCTGTAGGAAGAGGTGCAGGTCATCTAGCCAGGTGTCAAATTTCACTGGGCGGCCCTCAGCATCGAAAGCTAGCACAGGAGGACTAGCCATAGTAGCAGCAGTAGTAGCAGTAGGTGCACCCTAAAAGCAGTAGGCAGCGCGACTCAGGTAGGGCGGCTCGTTTCTGGCGGGGCCGTGGCTGTCGCGTGCGGGGCGTTAAGGGGCGGCAGGTAGGATCGACGGGGCCGCTAAGGGGCGGTGCGCGGGGTCGACGGGGCCAGAGGGGGGCGGCACGCGGGGTCGACGGGGCCGCTTGGGCCTCTAGGCGGGGCGCACGCTAGGTCGACGGGGCCGGCGGGGCCTCTAGGCGGGGCGCGAGCGGGGTCGACGGGGCCGGTGGGGCCTCTAGGCGGGGCGCGAGCGGGGTCGACGGGGCCGGCGGGGCCTCTAGGCGGGTCACGAGCGGGGTCGACGGGGCCGGCGGGGCCTCTAGGCGAGGCGCGAGCGGGGTCGACAGGCCGGCGGGGCGCGAGCGGGATCGACGGGGCCGGCGGGGCCTCTAGACGGGTCGCGAGTGGGGTCGACGGGGCCAGCGGGGCCTCTAAGCGGCGGGTCGCGCGTGGGATCGACTGGGCCAGCGGGGCCTCTAAGCAGGGCGCGCGCGCTGTCGATGGGGCCAGCGGGGCCTCTAAGCGGGGCGCGCGCGGGGTCGACGGGGCCAGCGGGGCCGAAGAAAAAAGAGAAGCGCGCGAGGGCGCTAGGGGGAGGCGCTAAGGCGCGCTCCGACAGTAGGGCGCACGAGGGCGCTAGTAGAGAGTAAGTAGCGGTGGGCCCGAAGAAAAATTAGGTCCTAGCGAAGGACCTGCTCTGAAACCATGTCAGAATAACTGAGGCAAGAATGAATGAATTAGCAGGAAGTTTGGTACAAGTAGGAAACCCTAACTTTGTGTACCCCCTAAGGTGTAACCCACTACAGCCTACACAACATAAACATGCAATGTTTGACACCGCTTGCGTCCACGCCGTCCACCTTCACCTTCTTGTCTCCTTTCTTGACACGTGCCATGAACGGAGACAAGTTGGGGCTCAGACCCGCCCCGAAACCACCGTCGTAGCCGATGTAGCGGTGCTCGATGAGGAACACCACACGGTCTACCTCTTCTGTGACTTGCGTCACCTCCACCTGGCGCACCGACACGCGTGCAAAAAAGTTTGTTAATCACTGATGTACAAAGAATAATCAGCACGGCTAAAAGTGTGTATCAACAAGCCTTAAGTGCACGTTTTACCTTGCGTCGTTGGAAAAAAAACGATTCAGGGAGTTCAACTCCCCCAAAATGTTTGCCAGGATATACAGACAGAAGTGAAATTTCAGGGTCTTCACAACCGAGGCGATCTTGTGCTCGTACTCCAGGAAGAGCACGATTGCCGACCCCAAAATCTTGACAAGTCGGATGACCGCATCGGCATGGGAGAGCCAGCGCACGTCGAACAATCCCTGGTGCTCGAGGTTGGTGCTGTGGATCACGAGTTGTAGCTCTTTGAACCGCTCGTACCACGGCGTGGATCTCCCCACGATCTCGCCAACTGCACGGATGGCCTTGTCTACCATCCGGAAATCTTTGAACTGCTCGGCTTCGGCAGTCTCCTTCACAGCCAGTGCTTCGCTGCAAGTAGAAGTCGGAAACCCATAATAAGATTGTTACATGACTATTAAAAACGACTAGCGTTAAACCAGTCATTGGAAATTAACAGCAACGACACACGTACCGATGCGCAATGCAGTGGCAGCCGACAAGGTGAGGGACGTTCACGCGCAGGCGCGTGACAAGTCTGGACGTGCCCCCATCATCACTGCCGCGCCGTCCGTGGACATTCCTGAAATCCTCTGCAAGTCGATGCCCACTGTCTCGAGATGCTGGAGCAGTGCGCCCATGAGCGATGCCGCATCACATTGCTGTACGGTTAGTAACGCGAGGAACTCGGTTACAACCACGCCGTTCTTGAGAAACGTAACAAACACAATCATGTGTTTGCCACGGGCGCGATCCGTACTCTCGCCGCACATGAGGCCGATGAAGGGCGATGCGTGGAGGTGGCGCATTTGCTCTCTGGTCAGATACACGGTGAGAGCCCTAGCCATCTCGGAGAAACCGTACCTGCGCATTCACAAAGAACATCGCAATAGGCTCGTTAAACATAAACGGTCGCTTAAAAAACAAATAAGCCAACAACAACTCACTGCGTGATGTAGACTCCATAGCTTTGTCGCGGGATGTTGGCGACCCCCTCTTCTGCAAGAAGCTGCACGATCTGCGGGTACATGTGGATGGGTGTGTCGGTACGGCACACAAATCATATGGCGCGCATGAGTACCGCGACGCGACAGCCCTCCGAATCTCCCTTCGCGAAGTCTTCAATCTTCTTTTGGTCAACGATTTTCTGCAGAAGATTTGCTTGCTTGTTCATGACGTCCTCGTGCTTCGCGCTGTTCTAGTGCCACCGTATCGACCCGATCTGCAGATCACGACCGCCAGCGCCATTGCGACCGTACCGCGCGTTGTCGTTCCCGTGCTCCATGCAGACACTGCAGCGCAGGAACGGGTCACCCTCTAGCGTCTTGTCCAGAATCAGCCAGTCGAACTTCGGCAGCCAATCAGACATGTAGCTCTTCTGCGCCTTCAGGTACGCCTTCTCCTTCTTCTCCTCGTCTGTAAGGGGACGAATGGGGGGTGGGGCAGCACGGGGAGGTGGAGCGACGGGCTTCGGTGGCGGTGTTCCCCACTGCAAAACCTTCGTCGCTTCTTCACAGCGACTAAACCGGTAGACTCAGGAGTGTCCGCATCGACAACCTGCGTAGCAACCGTTTCAGCCGGCTCTGCAGCAACCTTGTTCCGCGGCGAGGCGATCCACTCCTCAACACCGTCCGACTCAGCAGCGTCATTCATCGGGCGCGGAGAAGGACACCAATCGTTGTTCGCATCTTCCATGCCGCCACATTCCTTGCGAGGACGGCACATCCATTCGGTATCGCCGTCGCCCAGCTCGTCTTCATCTCGTACGTTGTCTTCAGGCACAGCGTTGAGAAACTGAAGCCCAGTCGCAGGGGGACATGTCGGCCTGTCGTCGGGATCTGCCGCGTCTCCCTCGGCGTCGCTAGTATCCATGGTGTTGACGGCGAAAACAAAGCTGAGGGAGCCGGGGCTGTGGCTGGAGAAGCCCTCTGAACACTCGCTGGACTGGCACGTTGAAGAGTAGTGTTGGTTGAAGAAACATAATGGGAGGACAGGAGGGGGGATGGTGGTGACCCCGTCTGCCAGCCGAGCAACAGGTGGGGATGTGCGCGCCGCGCACGAATTCAATGCACCACAGAAAGCTGCCGTAACATGCCCGTACGTTGGAGTTGTTCATTGCTGATGGTGTACGCAAACCCAGCGCTGTATCTAGTGGGTGGCCAGTTGAGTGCGCTGGCACGAAATATGCCATTCCGGCCAATCGGAGCCTCAGGTTGTGCCAACACACGAGCGAAACAAGACTGATATCCCCTGCGTTCCGGTCCAAACCAGCAGCGAGGGTGTAAGGGGAACGTGGGGGGTCGGGGGGGTACATGTATCCCCCGTTTAGAGTAAACCCACAATCCGAGAAAGAAACACTGACGCTCCAGAGTGACCTTACACAAAAACCCTGGCTGATCAGAGAACAAGTAACTCTCAAAAAAATTACCCAGCAGGTACAGAGTGCCCCCCTAAAAACCACTCTGATTTTCAGAGAAGCAAAGTAAATTACACTGATAAAAAAACCCTTGCTATATGTACTCAGCTGCCTGCTAGTGAAAACCCCTCTTTCCTGTTTATGATTCTCGCATAGTGTTTCTGACATTGTACGGTATCATGTCGACCCTCCTGAGTCGATCCTGTGAGTGGTCCCGCCCGACGCATGCGCTGTTGTCCTGACTATCGCACGCCCCAGGCGCGCGATGTTTCTTGCCTGCCGCGCGCTCAGGGCGCGCGGCGTTTTTTTTTTTTTTCTTCTTCCCGCCGCGCGCTCGGGGCGCGCGGCAGTTTCCTGCCCCGTCGACCCGCGCGTTGTTAGAATACTAGCTAAGGCTAAGAGGCCATGGCAAGGGTTTAGGGTACACGAAAGAGAAATAGGAGAAGAGGGTTTGAACTAGAAAAGAGGGGGGTACAAATAGCAAGCCCTAAAAGGGTTATACTCACTATTGAGTACCCCACTACAGACTAGACAAGCAAAATATTCTGACACGGGTCGCCCCCCGTCGCCCGTCGCGGAGCCCCCGGGGACCCGCGCGTTGCCCCCCGTCGCCCGACGTGGCCCGCGCGACCTGCGCCAGGCCCGCGCGCGGCCCGTACGGGCTGCGCCAGGCCCGCGCGCGGCCCGGGCAGCCCGCGCGCGGTTCGTCCGGCCTGCGCCAGGCCCGTGCGCGGCCCGTACAGTCTGCCCCAGTGCCGCATGCCGTTCCCCGAGCTTCTGACCGCGCCCCACCCCCTCTGAGGATCTGGTTCAGAAAGATTGAAGTATTGAATAGTGCACCTGGGTACAAGGCGAGGCTATATATAGGCTCGACACAAAGGCAGTAACCTGGGTGTTACTAGAAGGTTCCGTGGGTCGCGAAGCGTCCCGAACGGGTCCTTCCCGAATTCGGTAGAAGGCAATTCGGTGGCAACCGAAAAGCCTAGAATTCGGTGCACTCAACCTAGTTCGATGCCTATAACTATAATTATATAGTAAAAGAAACGAACCTAGGAAATCTAGCAAAAGCAAGCAAAGCTAAGCTAGATAATGCATAGTAAAGCAGAATCAAGCTAGTAAATCATAGCAAAGCCGTCGTACTCTCACAAGTCCCCCCCTCAAAGCTGGGTGGCGTGAGAAACACCCTGCTTGACAAGATAATCCTTGAGAGCACGGCGTGCGTTGCCCATATCAACTTCTGCAACCCAACTGTCCTCCGACGAATCATATCCTTTCCAGCGTATCAGAAACTAGAGCGTGTTGCCGCGTCTGCGTCGATGAGCGAGAACTCGTTCCACCTCGTACTCTGGTTCATCCTGTACGAGAACAGGTGGTGGTGGCGGTAGCTGTCGTCTCGTAAACTGCTGGTTGAGATCCTTGTAGGGCTTCAGCAGCTCAACATGGAAAGCATTATCAAGCTTCCATGTAGAAGGTAAGCGCAAGCGGAATGTAACTGGTGTCACCATTGCCTCAACGCGAAAGGGACCACAGAAGCGAGGCCGGAGCTTGGACGGAATGTGAGACAAGTCCAAGTTGCGTGTGTCAAGAAGCACCTGATCTCCGACTGCTACTGAGTGATCTCGTCGCTGTCGATCGGCATACTGCTTCTGGGAGTTCTGCATCGTGGTGAGACATCGCTGAGTCTTCTCCCATAGCTGCTGCATGGTGGTGACGAAGTCGTGTGCGGCTTGGACGTGTGCCGGTGTGGTTGGCTGCTGTGGTGTAAGTGGTTCCCGTCCGTAGCACAGGAAGAAAGGAGATTTCCCTGTGGCCGCATGTGAAGCATTGTTGTAAGCGAACTCAAGCGTTGGTAACTGTAGATCCCAGTAACTGATGTCGTCTTTGCAAGCTGAGCGCAGTAACTGTTCAACCACCTGATTGAGTCGCTCAGTATGTCCGCCAGTCTGGAGGTGGTATGCTGAAGACATCGCAAGTTCTGTCCCCAACAATCCCATGAGTTCCCTCCAGAACTTACTAGTGAATTTCTGGGTATCTGTCTCAGATTAGTGTAGCGGGGATGCCGTGGATGGTGATGATGCGGTTGAAGAAGAGGCGAGCAGTTGCTTTAGCTGTAGCCGTGGCGTTGGTCGGGATGAAGTGTCCCATTTTAGAGAACTTATCGATCACCACGAATATAGTGTCATGCCCTCGTGAGGTCGAAGGAAGACCAGTGATGAAGTCTATGCTAACGACGTGCCATGGCTGCTCGGGTACATGTAGAGGCTGAAGTAACCCTTCTTTTTTCTGCTTGCTACTCTTCATCCGCTGGCACGTGTCGCATGAAGTGACGAACTGCTGCACGTCTGCTGCCATCCGAGGCCAGTAGTAATACTTTGCTATTCCCGCTATGTCAAACATTATATGTTTATATTGTTCTAGGCTGTAGTGGGTGATACCTTAGGGGGTATACCAGGTTAGGGTTTCATATTTGTACTGTTGTTCCTGTTAGTCACACCATTCCTGCTCAGTTATTTCTGACATGGTTTCAGAGCAGGTCCTTCGCTAGGACTGTTCTTAGGGCCCACCGACTTACCTACCTGCTTACCTTCGCTTGTTTCCGGCCCCGCTGGCCCCGTCGATCTAGCACGATCTAGCGGCCCTGCGGCCCCGTCGAACTTTTTTTTTCCTAGCGGCCTCTCACGGCCCCCGTCGCGTCGCCCCTTAGCGCCCCGATCGGCCCCGTCACGCCGCCCGCGAACCGCACAGCGCGCCGCGCTCACAGCCCGCGAACCGCCCACGCACAGCCCGCGAACCGCCTGCGCAGCCCGCGACCAGCCCGCGCAGCCCGCGCACAGCCCGCGAACTGCCCGCGAGCAGCCCGCGACCTGCCCGCGAACCCCCGCGAGCCGCCCGCGACCCGCTTACGCAGCCCGCGAGCAGCCCGCGCAGCCCGCGCTGAGCCTGCGCGGCTCGTGCGCTGACCGCCGCCGGCCCGCACGCTGCCCGCACAGCTCACATACGGCCCGCACGGCCCGCGCGCTGCCTGCTCCCGGCCCGCCGCTGCTGAGCCCGCAGCCGCCCGCGCACCGCCGCTGCTGAGCCCGCCGCCGCCCGCGCACCGCCGCTGCTGCGCCCGCCGCCGCCCGCGTATCACCGCTGCTGAGCCCGCCCCTGCTGCGCCGGCTCTCGCTGCCGCCTGCTGCGCCTGTGCACCACTGCAGATCCTACTACTACACTTCCTGCTACTGCTGCTTGTGCGCCACTACAGTCCGTAGGCCCCACCGGCCCCGCTGACCCTGCGCACGCCTTTTCAGTGACTTTACTGCTTCTACTTCTGCCGCTGTCGCTATGGCTAGTCCTCCTGTTCTAGCTTTCGACGCCGAGGGCCGTCCGGTCAAATTCGAAACCTGGCTAGATGACCTGCACCTTTTCCTACAGCTCACTGCCAAGGAAGATATTACACTGTACGACCACGCTCTCGGCCATGCGACCGCCCCACTCGCTACTGCCCCCCCAGCTGAGCGCTCACAGTGGCAGACCCGTGACGCGCACGCTCGCTTTGCTATTCGCAACTCCCTGCCGCTAGATGAGCGCGAGCACTTCGGCCAGTGCAAGACTGCTAAGGACCTCTACACAGCTGTAGTGGCCCGCTACTCCTCACCCGCTTCTGCCACGCTAGGCCGCCTCACTCTCCCCTACCTGTTCCCCGACCTAGCCTCCTTTCACACTGTCGCAGACCTCATCACCCACCTTAAGACTAGTGAGGCTCGCTTTCGCGCTGCCATGCCTGACGAGTTCCTCGCTAGCAACCCCCCCCCGCTCTGGATCACTCTCTACCACGTTGTCACCCGCCTCCCTGACTCTCTGCGCCCTGTCAGGGACCAGTTCCTCTCTCGCTCCCCCACTGAGCTCACCGTAGCCCTCCTCGAGAAGGAACTGCTTGCAGCCGAGGCTAGTATCGTCGCTGTAGGCACCTCTCGTGGCGACCCCCGCGGCCCCTTCTTCGAGGGGTGCTCCCCTTCCCCCCTCCTCCCCTCTGTCGCATCTGCTGCTGCTGTCGACCTCCTTGGTGCTGAGAAGGTCGGGGCTGCGTCTGCTTCGAGCGGACGACGCAGGGGCAGGAGTGGCAGGAGTGGGGGTGGTGGCGGAGGAGGCGGAGGTGGAGGTGGTGGCGGTGGAGGTGCGACTGGAGAGGCTAGTGGCGGCAGTGGTGGAGGTGACAGCGGCGTTGGGAGTGGTGACAGGGGCGGAGGTGGCAGCGGAGGCGGAGGTGGTCGTGGCAGCGGCAGGGGTGGAGGTGGCCGGGGCGGAGGCGGAGGGGGTGGTGGTCGTGGAGGCCCGGGGGGCGGTCAGAGTCAGCAGCCTGCCCCGACCCTTCAGGCCGCCCGTGAGTGGTATGCGCGGCGCAGCGTCACCTGCCAGTATGTTATTCGTACAGGTGACCGCACTGGCCAGACGTGTGGGGGGCCGCACCAGACGGAGCGCTGCTTCGCCCGCCTCAACGACGCGTGGCGCACCCAGTTTCCTGGTGGGGGTGAGCTGCCGCGCTGGGCTGAGCTGCTCAGGAAGGGTGTTGATATTTGGGCACTAGACTTTGATGCTATTCTCACTGCCATGTATGCGATGTCTATTAGTGGAGAGGGTGCTCAGTACTTGCGTGTTCCGCCCGACCCGGGCATTCAGGCCAGCCCCGCTGCTGCTCTAGGTGCTAGTGTGTCTGC